TTTCATAAGAGAATTAGTAGAAAACAAAATTATCAATCTCACACATATCAACACAGAAAATCAACTTGCAGATATACTAACAAAGGCACTTGATGGGAATAGATACGCTAAACTAAGAGCCGAAATAGGACTGTGCACATTGTGATCAAACACATGGGCAAGTCATTCTTTATATAGATATTCATATATATATATATATATATTAAAAAAAAAAAAAAAAAAAAAAAAAAAAGGGTCCATACCATATTCCGGCCCAGCAATACTCAGTTTACCAAGCCCATTGGAGACAAAAAGGCCCAACATAAGTTGTCAGCAGCTTAATTCACAACCCGGTCCATTTTCAGACAATCCCCAAATCACTCTTCTCACACAATCGATTAATCACCCACGATCATCTTCCACATCTCACATACAAAGCAAAAATTGTGCGGACAAGAAACCAAAGGCAAGGGAAGATACCCCAGAAAGGAACAGCTCAACAGTTCGCCGGTACCGGAGTTCCATCCAACCCGATACGCATTGAAGAAGAAGAAGCCTCCACCGTCATCATGGACCCGGTCCCCATCTCACAAGTACCGTTCGAAGAAATCCAAGAAATTCGAAACCCTAGTCCAGGTAATCTTACAATAGATTTACATGGAGATTTCACAATTTCTTCACCCACTATGGATGAAACTAGAGACAATGTTCATTGTACTCACGAAGAGGAAGAAAATCCCAATGTTGAACCCTCACCTCCACACCACCCTCTGTCCGACCGAGAACAGAGGAGAAGGAAACGATCTGACCCCTACGAAGGGGCAGATCCTAGAGCAAAGAGGCCTAATGATTTTCCAGTTTCGGCTAGACCCCCCCGAGGAACCCCCAACATACCTCCTCCAAGAAAAGACAATAGTAAGAAACAGAAAGAAAAAAACACAGAGGAAGAAGATGAATGGATACCTGATGACACAGAATTAGTAACAAAACCCACAGAAGGAAAAAGAAGGAAACTAACTGCCAAGGAGAAAGGGAAACAAAAGATTATTAGTTGTGCTGACCTGTCAAAACTGCCAAAGCCCTATAGTCCAAAATTTCTGACTAGGGAAAATGCCAAAGGATGGAATAAACTTGTGGAGAAAAGCATCATCAATCAGAAACTTCTAGAACTAGAAAAGCTGGAAAATCATGAACAAATATCTGATGCCCTAACCAAAAATCAACTTCTAGGGTCAGTCATGAATATATATACCCCTATGAGGAGCAAGCTATCAAGGAATTTTATAGTAACCTTACCAAAGCTACAACAAATCCCACTGATCCAATGTTTGGAAAAATCTATCTAAGAGGAAAATTCTATGTGTTCAGTCCTGAAATCATCAATGAATACCTAGGAACACCTTCAGGGGACCAAAATATTCAACTAGAAAGTGAGCAGGTAGCTAGTGAACTTACAGCCGGAAATGTGAGTTTTGATAAAAACAAAATCAAAGCTGCATCCCTAACTAGCAAGTATGCTATACTACAGAAGATTGCTCTCGCCAATTGGATGCCATCACGACATGAGTGTACAGTCAAATGGAGCCTAGCAGAACTACTCTACAAAATAGGGAAGGGGATCAAAATCAACCTTGGAGCTATTTTTCACTCACAGATTGTACACTATGCAGAAAACAGAAACTCAAAAGCCCTACTAATCTTTCCGAATCTCATCTACTCCATTCTAGCCAAGCAAGGGTTAAAATCGCAAGGAACAAAAGTTCAAGTCAAAACCTTGAACACAACCATTAAACTAAAGAGAGGAACACACCAAAACGACCTCAAAGCCTCAGTTCCAGCAGATAATCTAACAGATCAACAAACACTAGTCAGATACTTCGAAAAAAGGTTAAAAGAACTAGATGATTCAGAAAAACAATTACTACGAAAACACATGGGGATCAAAGAAGAAAGAGCAGAGATACTACAATGGTTAACAGCCCTAAAAGCAGGTAATGAAGAAGATAATCAAGAAGTTGAAGAAGGAGACAGTGGCAGTCATGGCCAAGAAGAAGAAGAAGAAAATGAAGAAGAAGACCAAGAAGATAATGAAGAAAATGGCCAAGAAAATGAAGAAGAAAGTAGTGAAAAATCAGCCTGAACATTCTCAAACGTTTAGCAAAAAGGGGGAGAAAAATTGTGGATGTTTTGATCTGTTCTTGACACTCTCAAGATTTCAGATGTTCTGTTTTGATGCAAACAGTCGTGGATATTTTTGATCTGTTCTTGACACTTTCAAGATTTCAGGTGTTCTTTGATGAAAACTGTTTTGACCTGTTCACAGTTTCTGTTTTGATGAAATCTGTTTTGATCTACTCTTGACACTCTCAAGGTTCTGCTCTTGATGTCTTGATCCATATGAAAAATTATGGATGTTTTGATATGTTCTTGACACTTTCAGGTGTTCTGTTTTAAACAGATTTCAGGTGTTCTAATGCAAACAGTTTTTGATCATTTTTGGCACTCTCTAGGTTCTGTGTTGATGCCATGATCCATCTACTATAACTTCAGATGGTGGATACTTTGATTTTTTTATCCATCTGGAATGAACCATATTTATGGATGTTTAGATTACCCTAGAGTCAACTATAGCTTCAACTCTGATCTAGGGAGATGACAAGAAAAATGACACATCAAGACAAGGATCAAACTAAGGGGGAGACAACAAGTCAAGAACCAAGTCTAATGGATCTAGGTTTTTGCAAAAGTTTGACAAAGGGGGAGAGTGTTGACCTCAGGTGAATTGTCAAAATGTTAAGTGCAAAAACCATGTCCTAATCATACTGGGTATTATAATCCAACTATGATTAGGATTAACAAACCTATTCATACACAAGCTAAGGATATCTGATCCTATAAAAGAAGTCACTCTCAATCACAAGAACTCACGCTTTCAACACCTAACTGTGAGCACGAGAGTCATTGAGAAGAGATACCAAAATTCCCTTGAAAAGTAGTACAAGTGTTTAGGTTACAATAATTTGATAGGATATCATATTGTGTAATCCCCGTTCCTTAAACCAAGTGTACTTTAAATATCAAGCTTTTAGTGGATTTAGGCAAATTCTCAATTCGAGAAGTGCCTCGCAGTTTAGGGTTGTTTGCCCGAACTGCGTTATAAGTTTATTGTGTCACATCTCCAGTTTCAACATACACGAATCCATCATCTATCTTAATTTCAGTAACATCATATCAAAAGCAGTGGAAAGACACGTACGGTTAAATATAATAATTTAAGTCGGGACAAGTCATTTTCAGAGTTGCATTTCATCTAGGAAAGCACTCGACCGATGAAACAATTTTCACAATGGGTACCTTGGGAGCTATGCCGTGCAACCATGTGCACCATGCAAGGTATACACGAAATTTGATTCATAATTTCTATACTATAGATTCATAATTTCTATATTATAAATTTATAATTTCTATATTATAGATTCATAATTTTTATATTGTAGATTCATAATTTTTAAACTGTAGATTCATAATTTCTATATTATAGATTCATAATTTCTATACAATATAGTTATCAAATAATTATGAACATATAGTTCAGTGATTTGTGAATACATACAGAGTTCAATAATTGAAAATATGAACATTGAAAATTATGAACATAGAGCTTTGTAATTGTAAATATAGAGTTCAATAATTATGAATCTATAGTATAGAAATTATAGATCCAATTTCGTATGCACCATGAAGCTTTTATCTTTAAAATTCTTGTAGAAGAAATTCTTTTGGAACTTGTATCTAAAAAAATCAATTTGTGTACAAATGTCTAAGTGTGGGGGTCTTGATCATTGGTTTAAAGTTTGTTTCCATGAAAGTTTGTTCCATTCCAAAGAAAATCCAAAAAAAAGATTCAAAAGAGAAATCATGAAAAAAAATGTTACAAATATATATTATTAATGGACATTATTAGTATTTATCCTTGTAACGGTTGAAACGGTTTCTAGAATTTATTGTATAGATTATCTTGTACCCTATATATAATGTACCATTGTACAGAATGAATGATGAATGGATATGAGATTCCCCTTTTTCTCTCTATTCTTTTTTTTTTTTTTCATTTTAACACGTTATCAGCACCCGATGCTTTGCGAATGTATTAACCACACCTCTTGTCGCCATCTGGTTTTCGGTTGCGAGCCGTATCTCTTCCTCGCTCCTCTCCTTTGGATCGCTCCTTTTTGCGGCAATCTATTCGCCTTCAGACTCGATCGAAGGAAACCAGTCCTCGTCTTTGGCATTGACTTCGATAATGGAGGCTATTCAAGGGCAATCGAAGGATATTCTGGGTCATTTGTAATCATCTAAGGTTGTTTGCCAATTGAGGATCGACGTCAGCCTTGTGCAATCAGACCAGCGGTGGAGATAGATCAGAGACGGAGACATCGAGGACAGGCTTGCGGTGGTGGCATCCCTATGCCTACTTACGCACCATCTGATCCTCCGATCCGATCCTTCTGGTGTTGAGGCTCCCGCAAATGATGTTTCGATTGGCTGTTGTGATGATCAAATTACTTGATTATTGCCCAAAATGGAGAGCCCGAAAATCAACATCTTCACTTCAATGTCTCATATCCCAAGCGAAAGTCTAATTAGAAACAGTACCGTTTTCCGCCACGACCACCGCCATAATTTCCGCCGGAGGCGATCATGGCTGGCTGCTGCATTGCGGCTACCACCGCTGGAATTAAATTGATGTCTCCGAGCGATTAGACGAACAGCGAAGAACGCAACGAACCACTCCTTATGGTGGTCAAGAATGGGCTAAGTCTATGGCTGATGCTATGGTGTGTGAAGATTTGAGAGGAAAAGGTAATCTATTTAAAGGGAAAAACTCATCATCTATTATGAAGGAAAGACAGAGTTTATATACAGAAGAGATAGAACAATGCTACTAGAACAATGTTACTGTTCCTAACCAACTAACTGTCACTAACAGATACTAACTGAAATAACAGAAATAACCGATGCTATTCTGCTTCTTCATTCTGCTTCTGCTGACTGTCCATCTTTGACTGATTGGCTTGCTTGTCTTCTATTATCCCCCCGCAAGCTGGATCATACATATTATGTAGACCAAGCTTGGTTATGAAGGAAAGAAAAGTGTTTGGAGCATGAGGCTTGGTGAATACATCGGCTAGCTGATTTTGGGATGAAACATGTAGCAACTTGATTATTCCATTCTGCAATTTCTCCCTTATGAGATGGCAATCCAACTTAATGTTTTTTGTTCTTTCATGGAATACAGGGTTCTCAGCAATAGCCAATGCTGATTTGCTATTAGTGAACAAAACAGCAGGTGTGGGCATATCAACTTCCATGGCTTTCAACAAGTAACATAGCCATTGGATTTCACAGAAAGTTGCAGCAATTACTCTATATTCTGCTTCTGAAGAGGATCTAGACACAGTCACTTGTTTCTTTGCCTTCCAAGAAATCAAGGCTGATCCTAAGAATATGCAGAAACCAGAGACTGATCTTCTAGTATCTGGGCAAGCAGCCCAATCTGAATCAGAGAATCCTTTTAAACATAGCTGATTATTGGCTGGGAAGAAATGACCTTGGGCAGGTGCCCCTTTGATGTACCTGAGAATCCTGTGAGCTGCTTGTAGATGAATGTCTGTTGGGCAGTCTAGGAACTGGGATAGTTGTTGTGTTGCAAAGCTGATGTCTGGCCTTGTTATGGTGAGGTATAGGAGTTTCCCCACTAACTTCCTGTACTGAGTAGTGTCTATTAACCTGGTTCCACTCTCCTTACTTAACTTTTTTGAAGGCACCATAGGAGATCTGACAGGTTTGCTGTGTACAAAACCACTGCTATCCAAGAGCTCCAAAGCATATTTCCTTTGGTTGATACAAATACCCTTCCTGTTTCTGGCTATTTCCAGCCCCAAGAAATATTTAAGATGGCCTAGATCCTTGATCTGAAAGGCATTGTGCAGGTGTTCCTTGATGAAATGGATTTGTGCCTCATCTGGACTTGCCAAGACCATATCATCTACATATACAAGTAGGGCAACAAAGCTGTCACCTGTTCCTTTAGTGAATAGAGAAGGATCTGCCAATGTTTGAACAAAGCCAAGTTGGAGTAGCTCCTCAGTGTGTTTTGCATTCCATTGCCTGCTTGATTGCTTAAGTCCATAGAGGGACTTAACTAACTTGCAGACCATTCCAGACACTAGTACAGAAACAGTCATTCGTGTCCAAAGTAAAGCACAATTCGCGTCCAAAGTAGCTGGGACGCAGAAGTCGGGGACGCTGATTGTATATACAATCAGCGTCCAAAGCTACTTTGGACGCGAAAAACGATTAATCGCGTCCAAAGTTGAAGAACTTTGGACGCGATTAATCTCATTACAGTGTTGACCACTGACTTTGCGCGCCCAAAGTTGGTCAACTTTGGATGCGCAAAGTCAGTAAATCGCGTCCAAAGTTCTTCGACTTTGGACGCGATTAATCATCTTCTTTTAATAAAATGATCATTCGCGTCCAAAGTTGAAGAACTTTGGACGCGAATTATAGTTTATTTTATTTTATTTTATAATAATTTGTTAATAAATCCAGTTTTTTTCCTGTACAAAAAATATTATGTTCATCCAGAACATGCAGTCACAACCACTACATACCACTTCAAAGCTTTCAACTAATAAAGTTCAATATATCATTACGCCAACACTTTAGCACTAAATTAAACTCCATCAAATTCAATTCACAACGTAACACTTCAAAGTTTTCAATACATAATTGCCAACACTTCAAAGTTTTCAACATATTTAAACTACACTACTTCAACACTTATGTAATAAGCTAAACTAGATAAGTACCAACAATTCATCATTACAATTAACTATTATAATTAAATCATAGTTCAAAAATTTATATACATTCTTGAGTAAAATATTTAGATCAAATCTCACGAACCTCATCAATTTGCGCTTCTGAATAAGGCTTTCTATTAAAGAATAATTCCTACAAAAATTTAAAATAATCAAATAATTGGTTTTAACATTACTAAAGTGTAATTTAAAACTATTTACTTTTAATAAATTTTACATACCATATCTAAATCATCAGAATCCCAACATTGAGTGCATATTTCAAACATGAATCTCATCACATAATACCCGCACTCCACACCACCCGGTTGTTGAGGACACTAGAAAATATGTATATATATTAATATGTTAAACAATAAAAATATTAATATGAAATATGAAAGATATATATACCTCAATGTGACCCAATCAACGTTGTTTTTAGGTCTTCTCCCTCCTAAAGTTTCAACCGATCGAAATGCCCTATAATATACAATCATAAATAATTTATAAACAATAATGGTTAATAATTCTCAAAATATAATATATTTGTAAACAATAATGGTTAACAATAATGGTGTACTTACACATTCAATGTGGCCTTAATCTCAAACTCGCGATCAATTGATGCAATGGAGTCTAATATATAGACTTTTCTTAATGGAACAGAAATAACTAGAAGCATCCAATGATTTCTAAGGCATTTAAATGAATATATTAAGTGTTATTCACAAATAATGCAATTAAGTTAAATAAATAATTAAAAATATAAATATAGTTTTCTTACTTTTCATGGTATGGAGCTAAAATGAAGTGTCGATTCGTCTGTTCAACCATGGCATTCACAAGATATTTTGTGACCTTATCAATATCTGCAAGTACAGAGTCAGCACAAATAGTCCTTGGGCAGAGGAATCCAATTGTATGAACTCCAATTTTGGAGCACATCCGACTAAGACATCTACAACATATATATAGATAATTAATAAAAATTAACGACTAAAGACAAGTTTTTAAATATAAAAACATTATAAAAAATACTTACATTATAAATATTTGTAATATGGTCACATCAAGCCATCGCATCGTCAACAAGTCTTTAATATCTTGAAACAACACGTGAATGAAATCCACATCTTGATGATGGAAGATTGCCTCATCTAGATCCACGTTAATGTAATCTAAATCGAAAGGCAGGTTCTTAATAAGTCTGACCAATTTCTTAGATTCATCTCCCAATTGCTGCAGTGTATCATCATCAACAAGAAGTGGTCGTAATTGGACAGCAGATTGATCACCACTTTCAAGATTCATCATTCGGGTTTGTTTTGGATTTTCCTATGAATCAAAAGTAAAAGACATAATAACAAGTAGATCGAATATCAAATATTCAAAATATTAAAGATATTCAATATTACCTTAAGTTTGTTGACTTGATCAATAGAATGACAACTGCTCCGAGTTGGTGTGCCAACTTTTGGACTTGCTTGTACATTCTTCATCAAATATTCCAGTTGGGATTGCATCAAATCAAACTTGGGCTGCATATCTTCCATTGTTTCTTTTCTAATCTTTTCAGCCACTTTGTCATATATTCTCTTCTCTATGATCTTCTCCATATCACTAACTGAAACAAGCCCAGCTGAATTTCCACGACTTATGCTCTCCGGTTTACCAAACACATCCCCGAATATTGGAGTACACTCCAACACCTCTCACATAGCCACCGTACTCATTGGTGCCAAGAACTGTTGTCACTACATCATTTTGCCTTTTTGGTTGGAATGAGCCTTGACTTATCTCTTCACACTTCTCAACCTATATTTCAACATAAAAAAAAAGATTAAAATTTACATGTTAGCTAGTAATCTCGTCAATAATATATATATTTAAAGTATTTGTATTACTTACAATTTTATCCAACACTCCCTTCGTTTTTTCATTGGGAATGTAATAACTTCCATCTTCAGATTTTTTAGATCGCGCTCGAACCCAATCCAAACTACGATCAGTAGATGATATGTTCGAGGTAATAGCCGCACAAGAAGATTGTGAAGACAATGGGTCGCATATCAACCACTCAGAGTGCTTTCCAACATAGCCCGTAGACCCTAAATAGTGAGGATGCACATTTCGCGCTTGCAACTCCCTATACTTTTGACTGTTGGCCTGCTTACACAAAAGTTATTATTTAATAATATGTTAATAATAACCATGTTACATGATTATTAAGAAAGTAAATTATGTAATGTACCTTGGCAGCTTCAGTTTCATGCGTGGTTACAAATTGCTCCCATTTTTTTTCATCCATGAACTTATATAACTCACAGGGAGAGCTATATTTTTCGTTCGGTTTGTTGATGAAGTCACGGACCAATCTTGTTTTGAAATCTTTCCAACGTAGCCGTGCATGGACCAAAATATGATTTCTTCTTGACTCAGGGATATTAAACTCTTTCTGAAAAACAACAATAAAATAACAAATAATTAGGCCTTTATTGACATTAACATATATAAACTAATGAACTCAAAACTAAAATGAAATAATGATCAATGGATAAATTAAATTATTGACTATTACCTTAAGTTCATCCCAGACTGCATCTTTAACCGCAGTTGGAACAAGACGCCAGTGTGGAATGTTTATGTCTATGTGAATACGAACCATAAGGCCAAGGTAATTTGAGTACTTCCTTGCATTTGGCCCAAGAGGCCTATTCTTCTCATCAAACTCAATTACCTTAGACTCATCCTCTAGTCTCTTCTTTGTCATTTTACTGCAAGTTGTAGCTCTTCTTGCTTTACGCACTTTGCTCTCTGTTCCCTTTGAAGATTCCTCCACCACCGGATCTGTGTGATCGTCAGCCATGTATATATATACCTGCACATGCATAAGATAAATATGTTATAATGAACATCTTATAAAATATAACCATGTTAAACAATAATAATAAGATTACATTATAGAAATTATACTGTCGGATGGTCAATCCATAACCCTTCTTCATGATCAGTACGCATGTAATTAGTATCAATGTTATCTTCACATAAAGTCACATGTTGAATACCAATAGAAAATGGTGGGGTTTCATCAAATTGGTCATATTCCTCTTCATCAACAACATCACCAACACCAACAATACTTCTTTTGCCTTGTAAGACAATTGACCACTTACTATCAATAGGATCAGAAACATAGAAGACTTGTTTAGCTTGAGATGCAAGTATAAACGGTTCAACATGATATCCAAGCCGACCAAAATCAACTAAGGTAAAACCCAAATCATCTACACGGACACCCCGCCTGTTATCAACCCAAGAACATCGAAATAGAGGAGTCCTAAACACCTTATAATCAAGTCCCAGATTTCATCAATGACTCCATAGTATGACATAGTAGCATCTACCGGGTTAGTATCTTTAGCACTAGAATACTCTCTTGATTATGCTACTAATGTCACTCCACTATTTTGCACTATACTTTTTTGATCTTGACATTTTGTGTAAAACGTATACCCATTAATATCATATCCCTCATAAGTGCTCACAACAAATCTAGGGCCATACGATAACCATCTAATGGTTTCAGTGATATTATTTGGCACTTGAGATAACTCTTGCATCACTGTATCTTTGAACCATGTGATAAATGTAGAATTGTGTTCTTTTGTCACCCACATTTCACCTTTAGAAGGATTTTGTTGCCTTATAATAGACAAGTGTTGTTCCAAATATGGATGAACCTCAGAAAGCTGCTGCAGTACGAGATGATGTGCTTGATTTCGGATTATTTGACTTGGAACACGTGTTTTAAACCCAATGGTACCTTTTCCTGTGAGTCTTCCCTCATGACGTGATTTAGAAACACCAATGGACTGAACATTAGCCAAATAATCAGTACAGAAATCAATCACTTCTTCAGCGCCATAAGCTTCAATTATACTCCCCTCTGGCCGATATCGATTTCTCACATATCCTTTCAAAATTCCCATGTATCTCTCATATGGATACATATACCTCAAGAATACAGGACCACATATTTTAATTTCCCACACCAAGTGAACTGTTAAATGCACCATAACATCAAAAAATGATGGAGGGAAATACATTTCAAACTGGCATAAAGTTACTACCACATCAGCTTGCAAAGAATCCAACACCTCAGGATCAACAACTTTACTACTAATGACATTGAAAAAGTAGCAAAGCTTTGTAATTGCTTGTCTAACATGGTTAGGTAATATGCCTCTAATAGCAATAGGTAACATATGTTGCATTAGCACATGGCAATCATGTGATTTCATACCAACCAATTTAAGGTCCTTCATTGAAACAAGCTTTTTAATGTTAGATGAATAGCCAGAAGGAACCTTGACACCATTTAGACAGCTACAAAAACTTGTTTTTTCCTTTTTAGACAGAGTATAACAAGCTGGAGGTAAGTATGCCATCTTTCCAGATTCTTGTGTTGCTAATTGAGTCCTTATCCCCAATTCTACCATATCTTTTCTAGCTTTAATACCATCTTTCGTCTTACCTTGAATATTCAACAATGTCTCGATAATGCAATCACAAATATTTTTCTCCACATGCATTACATCAAGACAATGTCGAACAGATAAGTGCTCCCAATATGGTAAATCCCATAATATAGACCTCTTTTTCCAAATACCCTTTTGACTTGTTTTTGAAGTTTTTCCCCACACATTACCAATGTTTTTCACTCGATCATAAACAACATCCCCTGATAATGGTAAGCGAGCAACTCCAGTCTCAGATTTTCCATTGAAAGCTTTTTTCCTCTTTCGATAAGGATGGTCAATAGGTAAAAAGGTTCGATGACTCATGAACACATTTTTCCTACTGTTGTTCAACCAAAGATCAAATGTTTCATCTTCACAAACAGGGCATGCCTTAGCCCCTTTAGTAGTATACCCTGACAAGTTACCATATGCTGGGAAGTCATTGATTGTGCAGAACAGCATGGCTCGTAAAGTGAAGTTGGTTTGACTATGAGCATCAAATACTGTCACACCTTCATTCCACAACTTCTTTAAATCTTCAATAAGCGGTGCCAAGTACACATCTATGTCGTTTCCTGGTTGTTTAGGACCAGATATTAGCAATGATAATATGATGTACTTGCGCTTCATACACAACCACGGAGGAAGATTGTAAATTGTTAAAAGAACTGGCCAAGTGCTATGGCGACTGCTCATGTTACCATGAGGATTCATTCCATCCGTGCATAGTCCAAGCCTAAGATTTCGATTTTCAGCACCGAAATCAGAAAACTTCTTATTAATGTTCTTCCACTGAGGAGAATCGGCAGGATGTCTCAACTTTCCATCTTCTTTTCTCCCACTAGCATGCCATTGCAAATTCTTCGCATCCTTTGCATTTGCAAACAAACGTTTGAATCTTGGAATCACCGGTAGATACCACAACAACTTCGCTGGAGGACTTTTCTTCTGCTCACATGCATCATCGAGCCCTTTTCGTTTATAACGCTATGCTCCACACTTTGGACACACATGCAAGTCTTTGTTTTGATTCCAATACAAAATACAGTCGTTTGGACATGCATGGATCCTTTCAATCTCCATACTCAACGGACATAACATTTTCTTTGCCTCATAAGTTGAACAAGGAAGTTCATTCTCATTTGGAAGCATGTCTTTTAAAAACTCTAATAACTCCGTGAAACTCTTATCACTCCACCTATGTTTTGCTTTTATGGTATACAATTTAAGCACTGCTGATAACTTTGTAAATTTACTACATCCAGAAAACAAAGGTTTTCCAGAACTCTCAAAAAAACTTTCAAACTCTTGAGGCATTTCATTCAAATCCCCTTGCATATCCCGTATCAATTCATCTAGCCGATCATTGTCTCCATCATTTCCAACATTATCTTCATTACTTTGATCTTTCACTACATTTTTTCTACATTCTCTTTGATTTGTACTGTTACTAGTAAGGACAGTTTCACCATGCCATATCCACCGGTCATATCCTATCTTAAAACCACGACGTATCAAATGTTCCTTAATTTGTTCAGAACTACGAAACTTTTTTAGATTTCTACAATCATAACAAGGACACACTATATAATTTTCACCAATTTTACTTGCATATTCCTCGGCAATTTTAACAAACTCTTGAACCCCATGAACATATTCAAGTGTATTGCGTTTTTTATACATCCAACTCCGATCCATATCTCCTATATATTGTCACACAACATTTAAGAAATGATAAATGAGTTAGTTTCTTAAGTTATAACTTAAAGGTTCAAATTAAAGCTTTAACTAAATAATTTTAAATTTACTAATTCATAAGGTAATGGTTGGTCAAATATGATTCCAACAATGCCTAACATATACAATAATACACAACAATGCCTAACATATACAATAATACACAACAAATTTGTCAACAATGCCTAACATATACAATAATACACAACGAATTTGTCAACAATGCCTAACATATACAATAATACACAACAAATTTGTATATACAATAAACCCCTACGTTTCACATCCTTAATGCTTGCTTTTATACTTAATTAATAATTCACAATTAACCTAATCCAATCTTAAAACCACTTTAGAGATGGCATCAAACCAAAACAATAAACAACAATAACAAATAATACACAATAAACAATAATAACAAATATACTGTTGGTCCCAAAAGCGGTAAGGTGAAAGTCTAGAGGGGGGGGGGGGTGAATAGACTTTCAAACTTTTTCGCACAACACAACAATTGCTAAGCCAGAGATAAACCAAAATTCTTAACTAGATTGTTAGATTATGGTGCACAGCGGAAATAAATAAACATAAAGTGTGTGTGAAATTGTGTAAGCAGTATATCTCGTGTAGAGCGAATATGTAAAGAGCGGTAAGTAAAGAAAGCAGTAAAGAACACAAGACAATTATAGTGGTTCGCTAGGTGGTGTAATCCTCCTACTACACTTGCTCTTATCTCCAAGAGCAATTCACTATATCTACCACTTCTTTGTTCCAAGATACAATGAATTTCCGTGATCTAGTGCTTTGATCACAAAGCCCGCACTAATCACGCCCAGTGACACCACACTGCTGCTTCGGGTTTCACGTCGCCGCGCTACTATCCCAGGATTTCACGACTCCGCGTTACTTTCCCCCCGTTTTCCACACTCCGGTAGAAACGTATCCCGTGATCTGGTGCTTTGATCACCAAGCCCACACCAATCACGCCCAGTGCCTCCGACACTGCTGCTTCGGATCTCACAGCTCCGTGTGACAATCCAGGATTTCACAGCTCCGTGCTACTTTCCTCCCTTCTCTTGTTTTGCTCCAAAACAAGTGTTGTCTTGCTTCCAACTTCTGAGACTCTGTAGATGATCTTCAATGATGCGCAGGTCTCTTTGATGAAGATAAACACTCTGAAATGATTTCTCTTGATAGCTCTGAGTGTTTTCTCTATTTGAATATATCAAGTAAAGCACTTGATATTTTTGCTCTGTTTAAGAACTCTCTGAATATTTTTCTTTGAAGCTCTCTGAGTTCTTTTTCTTTTCTCACTTCTCACTTGAAGATTTTTGGTATGCTCTGTACCAAATGAGAGTTTTGCTTTATGCTCTTTCAAGCTTAATTGCTCTATTCGTTCCCTTTGATGGGTTCGAATTTTCTCAACTGCTCTATCTCTTTTGAATTTCTCCTTTGTAATTGACACCCAATTTCAATTGGCTTGTAATTGGCACCCAATTTGAATTTCTCCATTGTAATTGGCTCCCAATTGACTTTGACTTGCAATTGGCTCCCAATCTGCTCCTGGTGCTTTCAATTGCTTCCCAATTTGAATTATTGACTTTGACTTCGAAATTGGCTCCCAGACTTCTCCTGGTATTGAATTTCATCTCAATTCAATTTGATCTCCATGTCTTCTTTGAATCCGTCCCCAACTTGAAATTGCATCCCATACTACAACCTCAATTGGCTCCCAATTTCAATTCTACATTGGCTCCCATCTTGAATTGATTCTCATGTGAAACTTGCTCCCGATTTCAATTTCAATTTCTCTGAAACTGGCTCCCAATTTCAATTGCTATGAAATCGGCTCCCAATTCCTTTGAATTGGCTCCCAAGTGCAATTGCATCTCAATTTCCACCCAAGTGAAATTGCTTCCCAATTTCCACTTGTGATCGGCGCCCAAGGCTTAAACTAGCGCCCAACTCCATCAGATTAATTTAATTTGGCTTCTCAAATTTTACCTTGTAAAATTATTGATGGTGAGTTTCAAGCTTGAGCCATTTTGCATAATATATCAAGCATCATCCACTTCGTCTGTACAGCTTTTGATTAAATCTCCAATCACAGTTGATGTACTCCTTTTTTTCCATAGATGCTTGATCTCCAAGTCAATTTCATGCATTCTTCCAACTTTAATTTTCTTCACGAAAATTCTTCTGGGATATCTTCTTTGAGTAGCATTGACGTGATTTCATATCATTCATCTTCTTCTTCAATTTGTCATTTTCTCCAGACAAATTCTTGATTTTAGGCTTTATATCTTCTTCTTCTATTTTTCATCCATCTTCCTCTGTTTTTCTCTTTTCATAATTAAATAATTTCCCGATCTTGGTCTAAAACTCTACTAGACCTATAAAATAAAATTGGGGGATCTACAAATACAAATTTGGCATATCAAAAACATTACACTTTATTCCTAACAATTTCCCCCCTTTTGATAATGCCAAAACCTATACTCGGTCATTGGCTTTAAGTCTTTGAAAAATAATCTTTTTGCTCAATTTTATTTGACAAAGCCAAGATGAGTTTAACAGATGGTTTTCTAGACACAATCAAAAGAAACTTGTGAATTAAATTTTTAGACAAGCTCCTAAACGCATCTTGAATTATTTTTTTTTTTATTTTGATCATCATCAATTTTTAATTTTGTCATGCGTTTGACATATTTCTTGTCTTTTAATTCACGAAAGTCTAATTACATTAAAAAAAATTAAAGACTCAAAATAGACCATGGGAAATTATTATTGATATATTTCGAATTTATGGAGAAAAACGCAACAGAGGTTCGAAAATAGAGAAAATATCAGCTTAAGAGAATTTTCAGATTACCTTCTGGGTTTCTTCACACCAGAGTCTTTCTTCAAAATTTCCTTGACATGTTCTCTGAGCTTGAAGAAATCATCTTTGAACTTTGCATTCTGAAATTTCTTTGTAAGCTGTCCGGCCATGTAATGTCCATAAGCTTCTTTGATATTGTTGCCCGGAAGAACTCCCTTTTCCCACCATAAGACACATTTTTCGAAGCTTCTTTCTTCTCCAAGATTCATGCCCATATTTCCAGTGAAATCTCTTAATTAGTTCATACCACATCTCGGTTCTTTTCCTTTTGCCTTCTTCTTCTTTATTCTTCTCCGAGATCCATTGGGCTTGATCGGCTGCAGGCCATTTCTTGATCATGCTTGGTAAATTTTCCTTGGTCCATATTGTTGTCTGAGTGGCGGTACCCTTAGAGCATTCGAACCAGCCACGCTGTTCAGAAACCTTTGATGTACTCGTACCAAGACTAGGATTCGCGAACTGAGCAAAACCAATCTGAGATGGTCCTTATGAGGATTGTCCGCGGCTTCGACCTCTACCATGAGTAGACACTACTGGCTATTGTTGACTTCCAAGAATAAATTCTTGTTGTTGCAAAGCCATGTGACTGAGAATTTCTTCCCCCCTTTTGGCGTTATCAACCAAAAATGCAAGGGTCTTAAAATCTCGATCTTGATTTGCCTTCACAGTTTCAACACTGTTGTGTGTTTCAATGGAAACGGTTTGCACGTTGTCAAGCTTATTTGTTGTAACTGCGAGTTCAGCTTCAAGTTTGTTGATTCGGCTTTCTTGATCTTGAATCGCTTTGATTTGTCTCAAGTGACGTTCGTTGTTAATCGTTTCAGCTGCTTCACGTTCCTTCTTCATGAGCTGAATCACTTCAAGTAAGCCTTTTGTCAATTCTCCTTTCAAGATTCTTTCTGCTTTGTCAATCTGGGTCTTCAAAATATTTTGATGCTCCATTAATTCCTTCAGATTGACTCGTGTATCCGTGTGTTTTTGATCTAGCTTTTGGTTTTGTTCAACCAATTTTTCTCCAATTGTTTGACAAACAACATCACTGGATTCGGCCACTTTGGCAAATAAGGATGAAAATATGCCATCATCTTGATCATTCATCTGCAAAAAGTTTTGAGGGGATCCGAATGGACTTCTATTCGGATCTGTGAGAACAACTGTATCAATAAGGTGCATCCCTTCTTCTTCAGGTGATTCGGCTTCTTGATTGAGATCACCAACTTGTTCTTCTAGGACTTCTGTTCTCGTGTAATTGTCTGCAAATAATTCATCATTTTCTAGAACAGGGTCCATGGTAGGCATGGTAGACTCGGTATGGTGTACCGGCAATACACTGGATAAATCCTCTGTGATTTGCAGTCTACTCTCAGTAGCAACTTCTACTGCAACTTCCACTGGTATATCTCTTCTTCTTTCTTCTGACACTTGTTCTCTTATTTCTCTTCGTACTGACACTTCTCCTCTTAATTCTTTTCTTCTTTTATCCCTTTTGTAGCCATAATATATAATTTTTTTAATTCCTTTTTATTTTATTTTTATTCATATATTTTTTTGTGTGTCGTTTTGGCTACGAAACTTTTGATCTTTTTATATACGTAGGGATTTTTCATTTTGTAGGAGAGAGAGACAGAGAGAAAATAGAGATAGACAAAACCAGTAGCAAAAACATCCCTTTTTCACTATTTATCTCCTTCTTAGGGAGAGAGAAAGAGATAACATTTTTGGATCAGGTCACATCACATATTCAGGCTTCATCAGCAGAGAGACCAACGCCGTGATTAGTCTCAAGATCAGCATGCGGTGGAGACGGAGAGCTTGATTTCAGAGTATTGACTAATCCGGGTTCCATTGAGAGTTGAGCAGATCGCTTGAAGCTGCGAGTTAGAGGACGAGAGGACAGTGGTGATGGCGTCGAGCGTCGTAGCTGCACTGCTGAGACTTTCGGACCTTTTTGAACTTGATCCTTGGTCGGTGGTTGTCCTTCCTCTTCTTCAGAGAATAGGATGAGAGGATCGCTAGGTGTGTCTCCAACTTCATGTCCTCCATTTGCAGCACGTCGAGCTCTCAGCATCGCTTGTCTTGCTTG